TAGGAAGTCTTTGCAGAGAGCAAAGCATCAACGTGTGAAGTGGTGGGGAGCTGGGCTCTGAATCCCTGGTCAGTCACACCTGCCTGTGCCTCACCTCTGGCATGTCACTTACTTGCTCAGCAGTCCAACCATTTAGACTCTGGCACTGAAATGACACAAATAAGCAATAGCTATTATTATTACATCTGCCTAAGTAATCAAATATACATGGGCACTGCAATGTCAGAAGCTTTTGCTGGTCTCCATGACTGAGATCCCACGGAACCTGGCTGGTGTTTAGCAGTGACTTTACTTGTGGTTTATTTAATTCTTGGCCCTTCAGGCCTTGGTGGACAGTCTGAATATGCTACTTCTGTCTGCAGCAGTGACCAGGGCTTAGGTCTACGATATGTGATAAGAAACATCTCCCTTTAGAAAGGAGGATGTTACATCTTTGTTTTTACGTTACCTCTTTGTTGATGGGCTGTATATGTTGTCTTTGAGCTGAGTCCTTAGTGCATGGCCTTTTATGTCTCAGCAAGACTGTGTACAGCACAGAGGTCTGAAGTGCTATGCTGGTAAAACCTACCTCAGCCTGAGATGTGGTCCCCAGTAAAAACAGTTAATGTCTACTGAGTGTATGTTATCAGCCAGGCCCTGTTCTGAGGGCTCCCCGATGATGGAGTCATTGACTCTTTATGACATTCCAGTAAGAAAGCAATTGTATGTTGTAGGTGAGGAAACTGAGGCTCTGAATCCCTAGGTGGGCACCTTGAAGAATTAGTCAGCTGTCTGAGGTCATGCATAGGCAACGAAGCTGAGGCTGGGAATTTCAAGTTAGGATGTTGCTTTGGTGCTGTTGATCACATGTGAATCCTGTAGCAAAATCAGACAGCCATCATCTGGCCCTCCCAGTGGCTGGCTGCGTTTGTGGAGGGGCAGCCAAGTGCTGAACTCCTGGACTCACCCTCTAGAAGGGGAGGGAGGCCCACAATTGGTAGTCCTCTGTGATCTGTGCACCCCTGGAGGTGGAAATAAGGAGCTGGGAGGCAGCATCAATGAGGAAATGAGTGACTCAGTGAAGGGGGAGGACATGCTTCCTGGGGAGGTGACTGCTGAGCTAGGTTTTGAAGGATGAACAGGAGTTCACCAAGCATACCAAGTAGGGCATAAAAGGCAGAAGAAACAGCATGCAAAGGATGGGGATGAAACAGCAGAGTTTTTTTAAGGTGAGGTTACCGCAGATCATTTAGCGTGGACGGTTGATAAAGTGCAGGGGGAGATACCATGCATGATGGATGGGAGAGGCAGAAAGAGCCAGAAAGAGGAGGGCCAGGTTTGCCATGTCAGGGAATCTGATTTCTTCCTGAGCATGTAGGCAGTTTAATATCATAGTTTTAAAGCAAGGTCAAAATCCTCAAGCTCTGATGCCAGTAGCAGTGGGTTTTTTCTGGTTTTATTGTTATAATTATTGAAGGAAAATATTACAAAAGTCAGTAGTTTTCGTATCTGATGTGTATTGCTGTTGTGCTAAAGAATGTTGCTTTATTTAGTCTCCCATTTGTTTCTCTCTCTTTTTTAATCAGCAATTCTCTTTGGCAAAAGTTATTCTCAGAAGCCAGATAAGTACTTTAGGGAGGCTTTTTTAAAATGGCCTTTGATTACATAAGAGCATCATGTAAAACTGTTTCTAGTAGTATCTTTATAGCAGGAATGGAGGCTAAGACTGATTATGTAATTGTTCCCTTAATTTATTCTCAGAACTGAACATGCTGCCAGCATATAAAAAAAAAAAATATACTTACCTGCTCTGGGTAAGGCCTGAAGTCCCTCCTGGATTCCAGAGCTATTTCAGGAAACATGTAGGATGTGTTCTTGAGAGCCCATTGGCTATTTCCAGCTCCCCAGGCCTGAACAGCCACAAAGTTGTTGCCAGGCTATTGTGTGGGTCTCTGTCTGGATCCCTCCTCTGGCCTCTGTGTGAACTGGGAGCCTGCAGGAAGGTTGGGCCCAAGGGTGGAAGGAAAGTACCCATAGATGGAGTGTTCCTTCCTTACCACCTCCCCACTCGAGAGGCTTCAGAATGGCCACCCAGAAAAGTACCAGCTCTACTGGAATTATTGGTAACATTTCATATTCGTAGTTGCTAAATTTGACCAGTGCATTAGCATAACATGATTTTCTGAATGAGACCCACGCCGTCAGCCTCTCCTAGACCTAAACGATGAAGACTGCACAGTGAGTGCTCATTTAACAGAACAGTGCAGCCCATTTGCTAATAGGCACGTTGTGGTTGAAATTTATGGAAAGAATTCTAGTTTCACTTGCATTTATATTCTCTCATATTCTTGCTCTGTTAAAAATGTCCAAACAAATTTGGGGGGGAAGGAAGGCCACGTCAGCACAGAATAATGAAGAATATGCAGTAACACTCGGCCGGTCGAGTTTGTTCAGCACATGCCTTGTGTTGCAGAAGATGTGGATGTTGAGTTACGTGAGGAATGAGCAGTTCCAGGCTTTTATCCTGGGGGCTTGGCAGGTCATGGTGGGGGTTATACAGAGAACCTTTCCTTCTTTCTGGAAAAGGGCCTGGTCCGAGCAAGTGGAAATACGGGCCCCCAACTCCAGAGGCTCTGATGTCAGGGTGGCTGTGATTGGTCACCCTCTGCCCCACTCTGACTCAGCCTGGTGACCTGCAGGCCAGGAAGTCTGGATAGAGGCCAACTTCTTAGTGTCCATGAAACATGGATGCCAGTCAGACCCACAGCATGCTTTCCTAGGAAGTCTTTGCAGAGAGCAAAGCATCAACGTGTGAAGTGGTGGAGAGCTGGGCTCTGAATCCCTGGTCAGTCACACCTGCCTGTGCCTCACCTCTGGCATGTCACTTACTTGCTCAGCAGTCCAACCATTTAGACTCTGGCACTGAAATGACACAAATAAGCAATAGCTATTATTATTACATCTGCCTAAGTAATCAAATATACATGGGCACTGCAATGTCAGAAGCTTTTGCTGGTCTCCATGACTGAGATCCCACGGAACCTGGCTGGTGTTTAGCAGTGACTTTACTTGTGGTTTATTTAATTCTTGGCCCTTCAGGCCTTGGTGGACAGTCTGAATATGCTACTTCTGTCTGCAGCAGTGACCAGGGCTTAGGTCTACAATATGTGATAAGAAACATCTCCCTTTAGAAAGGAGGATGTTACATCTTTGTTTTTACGTTACCTCTTTGTTGATGGGCTGTATATGTTGTCTTTGAGCTGAGTCCTTAGCGCATGGCCTTTTATGTCTCAGCAAGACTGTGTACAGCACAGAGGTCTGAAGTGCTATGCTGGTAAAACCTACCTCAGCCTGAGATGTGGTCCCCAGTAAAAACAGTTAATGTCTACTGAGTGTATGTTATCAGCCAGGCCCTGTTCTGAGGGCTCCCCGATGATGGAGTCATTGACTCTTTATGACATTCCAGTAAGAAAGCAATTGTATGTTGTAGGTGAGGAAACTGAGGCTCTGAATCCCTAGGTGGGCACCTTGAAGAATTAGTCAGCTGTCTGAGGTCATGCATAGGCAACGAAGCTGAGGCTGGGAATTTCAAGTTAGGATGTTGCTTTGGTGCTGTTGATCACATGTGAATCCTGTAGCAAAATCAGACAGCCATCATCTGGCCCTCCCAGTGGCTGGCTGCGTTTGTGGAGGGGCAGCCAAGTGCTGAACTCCTGGACTCACCCTCTAGAAGGGGAGGGAGGCCCACAATTGGTAGTCCTCTGTGATCTGTGCACCCCTGGAGGTGGAAATAAGGAGCTGGGAGGCAGCATCAATGAGGAAATGAGTGACTCAGTGAAGGGGGAGGACATGCTTCCTGGGGAGGTGACTGCTGAGCTAGGTTTTGAAGGATGAACAGGAGTTCACCAAGCATACCAAGTAGGGCATAAAAGGCAGAAGAAACAGCATGCAAAGGATGGGGATGAAACAGCAGAGTTTTTTTAAGGTGAGGTTACCGCAGATCATTTAGCGTGGACGGTTGATAAAGTGCAGGGGGAGATACCATGCATGATGGATGGGAGAGGCAGAAAGAGCCAGAAAGAGGAGGGCCAGGTTTGCCATGTCAGGGAATCTGATTTCTTCCTGAGCATGTAGGCAGTTTAATATCATAGTTTTAAAGCAAGGTCAAAATCCTCAAGCTCTGATGCCAGTAGCAGTGGGTTTTTTCTGGTTTTATTGTTATAATTATTGAAGGAAAATATTACAAAAGTCAGTAGTTTTCGTATCTGATGTGTATTGCTGTTGTGCTAAAGAATGTTGCTTTATTTAGTCTCCCATTTGTTTCTCTCTCTTTTTTAATCAGCAATTCTCTTTGGCAAAAGTTATTCTCAGAAGCCAGATAAGTACTTTAGGGAGGCTTTTTTAAAATGGCCTTTGATTACATAAGAGCATCATGTAAAACTGTTTCTAGTAGTATCTTTATAGCAGGAATGGAGGCTAAGACTGATTATGTAATTGTTCCCTTAATTTATTCTCAGAACTGAACATGCTGCCAGCATATAAAAAAAAAAAAACCCTAATGATGACAGTGGCATCTGAGTGTCTTTCCCGATAGTGGTTTTTGGCACTATACTGCTCTTGCAATTTTTACTGCAGAATAGAAATTGATGGTTTGAATGTGCATGATGGTTGGCTAAGCTCTGGGTGCCCCAGACTCAAAGGTCTGTCTGCTCCATCTTGGCCTGTGCAGCCCACAGCCAGCAAGTCTCACCAGAGAAAGGATTCGCATATCCTCCTTAGAAAGGCTCACCAGGGTCTCACATGTCACCATTTGGACAAGGAGAGGCAGCGTAGTTCTGCTGCGCTGAGGCTGCATTTTGCAAGATGCACAGAATACCATGTGTCAGAGGAGTTGGCGGAAGTGTGCAGAACTGCTTTGATTTCCATGAAAGCCTAATTGCTAGTTGCTGTTGTTTTTTTAATTTAAGAGTCTTTGCATTTAGTTTGTTTGTTGTTTGTTCTTTTTTTTTTTCATTTTTTAGAATAGTCCTTATCAGTGGCAGAAGATCCTTCTGTAGTATATTTTCCGTGCTGCCATATCGCGACAGCGCCCAGGCTGGGTATGTATATGCATGCTTGCTTGTAGTCCTCTGGGGGGAATGTTTGGACACTGTGTGCATAATGTGGCTCTCCTTTCCATTTTCCATTTCAAACAATTTGCCTTGCTTTGACACTGCAAATTCAGTATTTGTACATCTGAAAGAAAAGGTCCATTCCCTTGTCAACCAGAAAGCTTCTGTTATTTTGTCTGTGCATGTGTGTGTGTGTGTGTGTGTGTGTGTGTGTGTGTGTGTGTGTGTCTGTGTGTCTGTGTGTCTGTGTGTGTGTCCTCACCACATTGCCTGCTGTTTCTAAATGTTTCAAATGCATTTTACCACCTCTTTTAATACTGTAAAGCAAGAGCAATACAGGGCCCACCCCATTCCTCAGGGCCCTGCCAACTTTTGGAGAAAGGTAGGTCAGGAAAGGAGTCTCACAAACCATGTGGCCTTCCTGCCTCCTTTTGCATCTTGGGTTTGGGGCTGGAAACTGACCAGCCGCTGGAGCAAATGTCAAAGCAAGGTGGTGCCAGCCACTCTGGGGTTCGCTGTAGGCCCAGGGAGCACCCACCTCTCTAGGTCAACCACCCCTCCTTTGATCTGAAATAAAAGGAGGTAAGTAAAGTTGTATTCTTTCAAAGCCTCCCTCCTCACTCTCCATCCCTAACTCAGGGCTCATGCCTCCCGAGTTCTCAGCTCCCTCCACCCTCACCTGTGCTCTGTATCCCGTGTTTGTCATCAGGAGCTGCTGGTGTTTAGGGTAGGACTGCTCACTGCGTAGGATGCCAGTAGTATGTGGGAGGTTGGCTTTGGCCTTACAAACGAAATGCTAGAATTGCCCTCTGGTCATTATGACAACCACACACTACCCACACATGACCTCAGTCCTGCGGGAGGGCAGTATGGCCCCTGCTGCTGAGTCGCCATTTATTCATCTTCTCTGGATCATTCCCGCTACCGGGACCTTCCCTTTCTCCCTGTAGACCCGGCAGACTTCCAGCCTGTTCAACTCACCATGGTCCTTACCTATACTCTACACTTAAACTCCATGCGACAGAAGTGGCACATCACTGTTCGTGGGATTTGGAGTCAGGCACTTACTAGATGGGTGCAAATATCAAAGCAAGGGTGCCTAGATGGGCGCCTTGAAGAGCCGTGATGATCTTGGTCTTTGCTGAGCACTTCATTTGGACGCAGGGTCTTTGCATTACCTACATCCTTATGACAACCTTGCAAAGAAGGTGTTCTAGAAAAAATAACAATGAATCCTGCAGCTCAGAGGCCCAAGGAGCACCGGGGGGAGCCAGCAGAGCTGCCCTGGAGCGACTGACCTCAGGGGGAGGCTTCCTTCCCCTTATCAGCCTGCTGTGGTCCCGGGTTTGTCTGCACGCGACAGCAGGCTCATTTCCAGAGGGCACGAGATGGTACCAGCTCACAGGCCCATATGTGTGACCCAGAAGGCCAGTTCACTAATACAAGTAACAGCCCCATGGCCTAGAATCTTTGAGGGTGACCAGCCTGTCTGCACACATCTGGGAGGATCTGAGTCGTCAGTGGGAGGATGTCTGCAAGCGTGGCCTCTCGTGGCCAAGGTTTAACTGGGCACTGTGCCATGGGCCTTGTTTCCCTGGACTCCCCTTGCTGACCACTTGAGTGTTTCCTTAGCTGTGTTCCATTCAATCATTTATTGAGTGCTTACTATGTGACGAGGTGCTGGGATAAAGGGAGTGAAGGATAGACCTGGTTCCTGCTCTACTGGAGCTAACACCCAACAGAGGAGACATGTTAAAATTTCACATATGATTAATTACCACTTTTAACAAAGGCTGGAGATGCTCAGGTGCTGCCAAGTCTTCCTGGCGAAGGACTCATTCTCTTTCATGAACACAGTCTGGTCTCTCCGTGCTTTTGTCCCCGAGCTGTTCATGTTGGTGATGTCCTCAAAGGTGGTCTTGTTTTCAAATTCTAGGGTCCCCTCACTCTGGTACCCAAGTGCTCATCCCCATTTATAGGTACGACCACTGATCCTCAAGAGTCGAGGTCTCAGACATCAACTTTGGGCCAGAACAGTAATTTGAACTTGAGGGTTCAGCCCTGGGGCTTCCCCTGACTCACCCTAGCCAACAGGCAAGACAAGGTCCATATTCACAGAAACCTGTCTGTGAAGCGAGCTTTTATGACTGCCTCCCAGAGGACCCCAGCTTTCATACCGCAGATGAAATATGGAGGTTGCTGTGGAGAACTTGGGTGATGAGTGTTTCCTCTGGGCAAATCACTTACCTTCTGTGAGCCTCTGCCTGTCCCACTGTAGAACAGGGATGGAAGGTTACCACCTGTATTGTTAATCTGAGGATCACTGAATTTTATGCAGAGCCTATAGGAATATGTTTTTAGGGAGAGGTCACCCAGACTGTCTCTGACAACTTGTAGAAATATGCAGTGCTTTACATTTTTAGCACCTCAGGGAAATGCTAACTGGCAGCCAGAGGGCTGGGAAGCAGTTGTGTGTCAGGGCCCAGACTCCTTCCCTGCTGCTGGGAGTGTGTGGGATCACAGGACATAACAACCTTTTACATCTTAGACATGGAGAAACTCAAACTTGCCACTCCTTCAAATCTTAAAGAGGAAACCAAGGTGCAGACAGGTTAATTTTCTGTAAAAAAAATACATAATCACTTCCTCTGTGATAGCTAACAGAAAAAAGAACATGCCTGTTTCTGCAGCATATTCTTCTTAAGGTACTGCCATAAGAAGCAATGAGCACAATTCAAAACATAATTTAGTGGCAGGATTAAGAAACGTTCTGCTTTTTAGTTTTTTTAATGAGCAGGCATCCTATTTATGTGTCACTGCCACTTATGATTGTGATTTACTAATTACTAGGAAACAGCTATGCTCAAATAATAAAAATATTTATACTAGTGAACTATGTACATATATATTTTAAAGTGCTTTAGTTCATGTGCATGTTAACTAATACTTTTCCACTGTGGGAAATTCCTTTACTTTTCTGCTAAAGTCCTCTGTGATCAGGACATTAATCATAGGTTTTCGGGGGTGGAAAGGACCTGAGAGATGACATGGTGTGTGGCTTCCCCTGCCTCATAACTCAGACCCCCCTGTGGGGATTCTCACGGTGTGAGATCGTCCACACCCACAGCAGAGCCAGCGGCCCTGGAACCCAGGACTCCAGCCACCTCTGGCTGCTGACTTGGGTTTCGAGCTCCCGTGTTTCCTTTATACTTGACGCATGTGGACCAGGTCATATGTGCCTAATTATTCCAGACCAGCGCAAACTCCCCCGCTGAAGGGAGGAATGTACGATTCCAACTTCATCACAAGGAAGTTTTGAAAAAACAGGAAACTCAAAAGTTCATCCACTGTGTACTTGAACCTCCTTTACATGGAAAGCATCTATCAGGATGGCCTTATCTCTTTCTGGGTTGGTTTTCTGGCTTCTGCTGCCCTGGAACTTCCCACATCCGGCTCCCACCCCAAATCTTTGCTCTTGGTTTTAAACTGAACTGAACACTTGACTTTGGCTCCTGACATTGGTTGACCAAAGCAGATGGACTAGTCTTGGGAGAGGTTTTTACCATTCAGTCGTGCATCTGGTCATTTCTTCTGCACTTAGCGAGTGTGAGTTCCTGATGGAGGCTGGGAGGGTACAAGGATGAGGGAAACCTATTCTTCAGGAGCTTGTCATTGAACAAGTAAGCCAGACATGTGAACAGCCAGTCCAAGACAACTGGGGGAGCCCCAAAGAGGCGCTGGAGAATGCTTTAACTGCCCCCAAATCTTTATCAATGCCCACATTTACAATAAACCTCCAATCTCCAGTAAAAACCAAGGGTTTGCTATGCGAAGTCTCTCTATCCCCACCCACCCTGTAGGTACATTCCCATGCCTGCCTGCCTCCTATGTGGCCATTCAGGAGCTACCCCTGCATAGCAAAATTCATCCATTCACTGCACACAATCTATTGAGCCTACTCTGTACTAGCCACTGTCCCAGGCAGTAAGGATACAATGATGAACAGGAAAATGTCTCCCCATTACCCTCTAAATGGTACAAGGCAGGAACATTCTAGTAAACTAACCATCAGACAAAAAAGCAGACAGTTGAGTCCTAAGCAGTGTACAGCTGGAGCACAGAAGAACTCAGTGAATTCAGGAGAGATTGAGCAATGCTCCCCAGAGAAGGTGGCTTTGCAGCTGGACACAGAATCATGAGGCCTTAGAGAAGCAGAGAAAGATGTTCCAAGAAAGACATTCTCTTCCAAGGATATGAGGAGATGGTCTGGCTCCTTGTGGACTTGGGTGGTTCTCTAGAAGGCCTGGCGTGTTGAGAAAATTCGGTAAAGCCCCAGCCGAGCTGGAGTCCCATTGCTGACCAGCTGCAGTGCCCAGGCCTGTAGCAAGGGGTGGAGATGGACAGAAGTGAGCTATGCGGGGAGGCCCGGTCCTGGCCCTGGGATGTCTCTGTCGTGGGCCCATCACTCAGCTCTCCCCGGGTCTTGGTTTATCCCAGGAGTGGTTTGCCTAGACTCCAAAGGTCCTGTGAGCTCAAGTAGCTGGCCTCTTGTGTTCTTCTTGTCAACTTTGCTAATGTGGAACTATATGTCTGGTTGAACAAGAATTTATCAAAGACGTCCTGTTCACACTCCCCATCCACCAACAATCAGCTGCCTCGGGAACACCTAGCCGAATAATCATTCTCTGTCCAGTTTGAGATTCTTTAAAATGTGCAGGTGTGGTGACTTTTGCAGGTTTATTTGGCACTTGGTACCCTGATGTGGGGTAGGAGCTTAATAACCCAGGTTTGAGAACGTTGTGAGATGTGTGGGGTCATTTTGTATGCTACCAGACTCACACTACGCTGGCCATAGGTCATTCAGTAGGTGATTGAAGCAGACTGCCCTTTCTTACAACCGCCAGTCTGAAAACTGCTCTTCCCTGCTTTGACTTACAAAGATATTTGAGAAGAGAGTGTATTTCCTTAAGATCAGCTGATCCAGTAGT